TTTAGGACAGGACCATGGGACATTTCATCCTCCTTCAGCAGGCTGTCTCCAACCGAATCATCTGCAAACTTCACAATATGATGATTTTCAATCTCACTGTGGCAGTCATTAGTGTACAGGATGTGTAGTTTGTTGCAGAGAGCTTTTGTAATATTTTTGCCATATGCTCAACTGATTTATTTAACCGGTCAAAATACAGGGAAAGGCAAATTATAAAATACAGATTGACAGCGTTGCAAAAATGAAAATATGTATTTATTTAGATTTTTCTGCTTCAGTTGTTATTGTTTATTGCCCTGTAACATATTCATCCTTTTAATAGCTTTATATGTGTATTTATATGTGCTGTAACAGATGCAAATTCTTTAAAGTGAAGTACTCTAGATGCTAGATGACTCAGCTCTCACACAGAGAGAGTCAGAGTAGAAGAATCTGTAGATTTCCAAACAAGAGAGTTTAACAAGAGAGTAAAACTGAAACACATATTTTCTGTCCTAACAGGGCTTTCTATTTGGAGAAGTCCAATCTCCCCACAGACTCGAACACCACAGCAATGAAGATAGACCAGGTAAATATACACTTATTCTGACATATTTCCCATTTACTGCTTTTGTTGTCTAACTTATATCCTGTTCTTGTAACATAAGTCATTTTTTATTTAATGTTGTGACTGAATATAAATGCAAGCACAGATACTGGGCCTTGAAGTTAGAGACCTTCAACCAAGCATTTCAAAAGTAAGATGAACTGGCGTCCTGTTCGCTCCACTGGAAACCCCCACTAGCTCGTCAAGACTCCCTTATTAACTCCAACTAACTCCAACACTTCAACATTGTAAACTGCTTCCATTTGAACCTCAGCAATTATAGATTAGAAAGACAATTCTAGTGTTAAACCTCTTTGTGTTATTTTTGATGGGTTTCCAACTATTTCTGCTGGTGTATCTTAACAAGTCAGTTACTCTACTTAGGCTAGTATTGAGCATTAGAAATATATATCAATTGGTGCAAGGTCATTTCACTTGTGTTTTATACAAATCAACCTTTTCACTTTTCTCAAAGTTAATTGATATGATTATATTCTATTACAATGACTTACAATACAATAAGAAAAATTACAATTAAACGACTATTCTGCTTATGCCATTATGCTGCCACTTTTCAAATGGCTGAACTTAAGAAATGAAATAGGTTTTATAAAATACAGATTTTAATACTCCGTGGTAGTCTAAATGACTTGGTGAGATGGCCACTTCGATGATATTGTATCATCTTGTCAGCAGTCTATTTAACCACCGACGTTCTCTGACCTTCACCGTCTCCTCCTCCTCCTAGCTGCTGCGACCCCTCAACACGCTGGATGACCTCTGTCGACTAATGCAGTCCTATGTCAACATGCGCCCAAATGCCCAAGGCCACCCGTCAGGAGTCAGCGTACTGTGTGTCTCCTCTGAGCTGTGTAACCGCCTGGGAGCCTGCCACATCACTATGTGTGGTACAGGCATGCAGAGGTCAGCCTGGCACCACACCACATTGTTAAACTGCCTTTGTAGTACCACTAGGCTGTCTGCTGGATTAAAGATTAACACAGTGACTGACATTCACCACTGAACCTTTAAAGTGCAGCCATGCCTCACAGATTGAATGCATTTCTACTTCAAGGTGTCCAGCAGGTGCACAAATGGATAACCCCATATAAGTGTGTTTTTAAAAGAGCGCTGATCTTTTGCCTTTTGGTTCTTTACAGATGTACCCTAAATGTGACACTGGAGCAGGCAATGATCTTAGCCAGGAACCATGGTCTCATGCCGCGCTGCATCATGCAGACCATGGATATAATGCGCAAACAGGTAAACCTCAGGAGCAGTGGATCTCACACTGAGGGTCCATAGAGATCCCTTACGATTTATATGACCTCCACACAAAAGTGTAGTTTCTTTGCACTTTTTTCAGTAGAAATTATTTTAGTAAGAATTAGGACTGCAAAATAGTTTATATCAATATTGCTATATTAATAAGTGTATTTTTCTGACTTATATATCACATATCACTTATATATGTTTTATAACGTTTTTAAGTTTGATATTTGATGCAATGAACTATTTTCCACTTTACTGCATTGCATCAGACAAAACTCCAGACACATGTACGACAAAATATTCTGTAACCTTTTTGTTAGCTTTGAAATACAGTTTCCTTGTAATCATTTAAATGGACATTTTGTTAATGATAACAAATGTTAAGGTATGATCATATTGTCATGGTACAGTTTTACTGAAAAAAAAGCCCATAATCACCCAGCATATATAGTAAGAGTAACTGTTGTGATCATTAACCTATCTCATTTCAACCACAAAATCTTACCGCATGAACTCCTTTGGCAAAATCATATCAAATAATAGTCTGTGCGTCCCATGAAAATACATCAAATCCTTTTGAGTATTTTGATTTCATTCAGGGATATTGAGCTAATTACAATATGGTCATTGTGGAGCTTATAGCATATGTTATCTCTTCTACCAGGGGGCAAGAGTTGAGCTCTCAGCTAAAAATCTCAAGGTGATGGACCAGATGCCTCCGTCCTTCCCAAGGTACTGTATAAAACCACTTCCAGGCACCTATTTCCATGCCATCAGTACATTGTACCATTTATGGTCTTAGACAAGGTGGATTCCCTTCATTTGAAGTATTTTTTCTTTTTCAACAGGCTCTTCAAGCTGTGTTTGCCACCCTCAGATGGAGAACTCTAAGAAAACCATCACTTTAGAGAAAGGGTGAATGTGAAAGAGGACAATATGATGAGAGATGGAAGCAACAAAAGAATGCGAGTCTCACCAGTTTTCTTCCAAGAGACACTGCCAACGGAAAGACCCCACCCCTCCACCGCCCTAATTACACAGGGGTCATTCCACCATGGATACCACTAGAGTCTTCAGTGTAACATACAGGCAAAACAAGACTATACAAATGACTAAAGTCAATTACCAGGGATCAACTACTGTGAGAGTGATGCAGCCTGACGCTCAAGACTAATCAGCTACTGTTATACTGAGAAGCCACCCTGATAGAAGTAGTATTGCTTTGGCTGTCTGTCAACACAAAGCTGAAATGAATGACTTGGCATTTGGTGCAAAACATTCGCAACACATATGAAAGGGAGATGCCAATTTGAGGCCTCATAAAGACGACATCCGCAGTGATTATGCTCATAACCGAGCACTTATAATTAACTGGATTAACCAAACTACCTGTAGCTAAATGCAGATGTTATCCATTTTGCCTTGGACTGCAACTCCATAGAGCTGTCTCTTTCTCCGTTTGGGCTGGTGTTCCCCAGTGCTCAATGTTTGGACCCCAATGGAAATAGAATACTTGAATACCCTGGTATTCATGCATGTTAGCTGGCTGAATAGATGCAGAAAGTCAAAAAATGTACAGAGAGATGGAAGTAGGGACTGAGGGACAGATGAAAGGACGTATAATGGGAGCATGTGGTTACTGTGCAATTACTGTAGGTTTAGTGTGAGTACTGTATTACTGCACTATATGAAGGATAGTTATTTATTGTTTCCGGAAGGAGCATTTTTATCCCTCACTTATACTGTATCAGGTATTAAAGAATCTAAAAGCATTCCAGCCTACGTATTAAACAGTATTTAAAGGACCAATGGCATGCCATTTTTCTGACGTAACTGCTTGTGTATTTTATTTATATGTATGGTCTTTTATCATGTCAGGAAGTGTAACATTGATCTTCAGGGAGAGCAAGGGAGATAAGATAAACAGAAGCTAGCTAATAAGAATCAGGACAAAGGAAGCTAAAGCAAACTATACAAGGCTGCTTGTCAATAAGCAACCAAGTCAACAGGCTGGTATATTGAATCATTCTTAAATTATTAATATATTAATTCAATATTACGAAATATTCAATTCAAATGTACTAGTTGAAGGATTGCCTTCTGTTAACTAAGACATTATTTTGCTTTTAAATTGGTTTTACATTGTCTTGGGACTATTGTATGTACTGGAGGTATTAAAATAAGCACAATGACTGAAGTTGCAGTGTTAGCAAAAAGTACTGTAGTTTGTGGCTGGTGTAAACAAAGGGATCACTTCAGGACTGAAACACAGTAACATTATTTTACTGAGGATTTAAATGTATTGTACATACAAATTGTAACAGTGTGAGAGAAAATGATAGTGTGTCGTAAAGCAGCAGAGTAATGCTATAAGTTAAATTGGATTTTTATGGAGATAATATAGTATATAAAACGGTTAGTATTCATGACTGTGCATTTAAAGAGAAGCTGTTTCTCTTTGCTGACTGTAACCTCTCTGACAACTTGTTGATTTTGACTGTTGAAAAGGTTTGTCATGCATTTCAAGAGTCGGTCTTGACATCAGGCAGACAACATAGTCCTTTTTATTTATTCAAAAACAGTCTGGTTCCAAATGAGTTTGTTGGAATAGTCTCTACACATCCCGCGGTACTAGTGTGGCCACTGTAAATTTACATCCTTCTCTTGGCATATAAGACTCAGCGGATATTTGCATTATTATAATTCATATTTGCTTTGAATCTGTTTAACGTTGTATGAACTTGGAATACAGCATTTGTTACATCATAATATCATAAGTGTGTGTGTGTTACCTGTTTAAATTAGCAAAGACTGCAGCATGTTGGTGTAGCTGGACAAATATGTCACTGATTACACATTTATTTACATTATTCTAATGTTTTGTATATACTTTATTTGCAATGTTATGTTGCTTGAAAATAACTGTACAAAGGATATTTCTTTAATCTTTCTAAAATTATCATTGTAAATGCAACCTTAACAAGCTAGTAAATAAAATGTTCACAATATGGTGATGTTTTGCAGTGAAGAAGCATGTCCATGTTGGCAAGTCCAACATGGACATGATTTCCAGTATAAAAATGCTAATACACACACAGTTTGAGTGGTTTCCCTCTTGTCAGGACTTTTAATTTATCTTTTGATTTTCTAGCTTTACAATATGTTGTGTGTACCCATGCTTATGTTGCCTTTCATCTACTGTATTTTACTGTTTTCTCCCATGGATGACTCAAATGAGGAGGATGCAGAAGATTATTACATCTCTTGAACACATCATACATTTGATTAAGTGCTACTGGGATCTCTGACTGAAGTGGTTTCTTAGTTCAGTCCATTTACTTATAAATTTGCTTTAGGCCACAGCACAAAATGTTCAATTTCTTGTACGTGTTCCTGATGTTGACAGATACTTTCAGATTTTGGACTGTTAGTTTCCTCTACCATTGCTCTATCAGGGAATGCAAACCACAGTTTGACATGGTTTTAGGTATGCATTACCCTGACTGAAGAGATCTGCACATATGAATATTGCATGACCATGCATCATCAAATGAAAGCCTTCTAGCTTCTCTCTTGCATAGGACTTGTGGAGAGGATGAAAGGTTATCTCGGGATAGACTTTTAGAAAACAAGAAGCATTCACACAGCAACTGTTATTGTTTTGACAGAATGCTTCAAATTGACACACCAGACCAGATGTTACTGCACAAAAAGAGGGCTGGTTGCATGTTCAATTTAGCTGCGCAGTGTTGATCAGATGTGGGCCATAAATGATTGCTATAGACTCTAACTGGCTGATGGCCAAAGCGAAAAGACTGTAGAGTGAAATTAATGTACCATTCCCTCCTTGCTGTGGCTGTCAAATGGCCGGAAGGGGCTAAGGTTAAAGCATTCACTGTGCAGTTTGGCATGGTTATTGCAATAGCTTTTCTAGGGGGACCGACACCGACTGCATTCACCACCAGCACACACCCCTCAGCACCGGTGATGCATCCCCGCGGCAAGGGCACGGACAACTCGTCGTTAGAGTCGTCTCGACTTTAGAATGGTGAAGAAATCTCTCAACGGCGGGGTTTATCCAACTCAAGCCGGAGAGAAGAAGCACAAAGTCGGGTTTGTCGGGTTGGAACCCGGGGCTCCTGAATCCAGCAGGGATGGGGCGCTGCTCATTGCGGGTTCGGAAAGCACCAAGCGGAGCAGCATCCTCTGCAGACCAAGGTCCAGCATCTCCGCCGGGAGACCCAGACCGTCGAAGAAAAATGCCAGCTATCGGAAACTACAGAATTTCCTATATAATGCGCTGGAGAGACCTCGGGGATGGGCATTTATCTACCACGCTTATGTGTAAGTGATGTTCGGACTGAAACAAAGCATGCTGATTCTGTCATCGTGGCCTTTTACTTCGCGATACACCGCTATTACTGTGTCATGAAATTGGGGGAGCTGTGATGGGAGTTTTGCGGGGTTTGTGTCTCCTTCTACATAGATCAACATGTTCAGATGGCGCATTACAGAGTTAAGCGTTGTCATGCTGCCAAGCTGTTACAGCCTGACTATAGGAGGGGTATCACTTCACCTGCATAACTCCTGTTATAACTCTTCATATTGCCAACTTATGCTTACGTCATACTGACATTTTGAATGATTGTATTTATTTTTATTTGTTTAGCTGTTTATGAGGATGTAGGACAAGCATACAGTCTATGTTTGTACTCGCATTTTACACACTACTGTTTTTATTGATCAGAGCTCCCATGTGTTGCGGCAGCATTAGGTTTCAGCACCCCGGTATGTGGACAGCTCCGCACCGCCTCAGTACTTTCATTAATTAACGTTGCGGTCCAGCCCTGCACAGTCATGTACTACAGACTGTGCACGCAAAGGGGCAGTTCTGGATACTACAGCGAGTAACCAGACAGTCTGTGTGCATCTTGTAGCTAGAACACGACGCTTTGCCTTGGTTTGCCTTTGTGTCTGAGGCCTGGGCTGAATACAAAACATTGTCTGCCAAGGAGTTAATGTCAGACTCCAGTGATGCCATCATAACTAATATCTGTTGGCGATCTGTATCCTCGGTGTGAGTTGGCAGTACTGAGGCAAGCAACCACCAATGTCAACAATCTTTTGAGAAAAATATTAATTTTTGCTCTTTACAGTGGTACTGCAGCAATTTAGTGATGCACTTCCATAAGGTTGTGGGACTAAAACGAGCTTTTAACACATGTCAGTTGCAGCTGTGCATCATATTAAGGGGAGATAGTAATTCCAGTATGTTAACCTACCAATGTAACCTCTATTCTCCAAACTAATGGTGGGTAAACTGTGTTTGGTAGTATACCCTCAAGCCATGCCTGAATCCTTCCGATTCACTGATTCTGCATGCTTGGTAGGGAGGAGCTGAAATGGCCACAGCATTAAGGAATTCACTGTGCACAGCATATCGACTCCCCAGAGACAGCTGGATATCCAGAAGTAAGGCTGTGCTTTAATATGAAACTACACACACACTCACGCAGGTCCTCTGGGTGCTTCTGAAATATTAACCGATTACTATAGCAGCCAGCTAAAACTCCTTCACCATTTGTTTTGCATGTTGACAGATTTTCATTGAGCAATGTAACTGTTAGGAGATTGTTCTTAATGGGTGAATGCAGCAGTGACATGTTTTGTAGGATAACAGCATTTGGAGCCAAACACTTTAAGCAACCTAGTTAGAACAAGGTCAGTAGCATGTGTGCTGCATAAATTCAGAAACCTCTGGAAAGCACATTGTAAATTAGAGTACAACTCTATACTTACAAATATGTCTGATTGGAGAAAGGGGACAGAATGCATGACTGTGATTGTAAAAGTCACCCAAACACGCATATAGTTACAGCAATCTACAAAGTTCACACTATGCCATCCAGCCTGCGAAACAACATCTGCAGAGTAACCACACCTCTGCCTCCATTCCATTTGTCTCTTCTATACATTATTCATAGTCACCACACTATATTTAATTTCCCAACTCTTTTTACTTCTAGACCGCTAATTTACAAAACTATCATGTGCTGACTTCAGTCAAAAATGTCTCCCTCCTCCTTCATACTTCAACTTATCTCTGCTCCATAAGACAACGTTTGGCACACCCCTACCTTGAACTGACAATGACAGAACTGCAAAATGTGCTTTTGCTCAGACAGCTATTTATTTTTGATGGGTATCAAAAAATATCACCTGAAATGTTTGGTAGGTGTTTTGTTCTCTGGCTCATTTGTAATGCATGTGTGGATGATCAATATGGAACATGAGTACTTACATCCAGATTACTCTCTGTCTTGCTGCATCTGATCTCTCTCTCTCCTTCTCTTTCTCTCTCTCTCTTTCTCTCTTTCTCTCAAATCAATATCAATTCAAATTCGCTTTATTGGCATGAATGCTAATAGAACAGAATTCTTTCTTTCTCTCTCCAAGGCCATGGCCACCCTTATCCTTGTGTTCTGTCACTGGTGGAACACCAGTTAAAGAGAAGAGGCACAGTGGTCCACAGTCAAGGATATTCCTTAAAATGTAAAATGCAGCATACTGTGACTGGGTTTGAACATTTTCTTCACTAAAAAGAGCAGGACAAAGAAAGAGTTCAGAAAGTGATCAATCGGTGAAAACAAAATAAATGTTCTTTAAACTTTCATGAAGTGATTCTGAGAGACAGATTGAGGACATGGTCCAGTTATTCACTAGTCTGCTGAGCTGGCCAGCTGAAGACAAACTGGAGAAAAAATAAGGAAAGGAGAGTAGCAGAGCGTGGCTGCCAAGCCACTGAGATGTGATTCACTGGAAAATTGACTTGACTTCACATGTTTCTCATGCCTTGGGGATCACATTCAATATCGCACCAAATGAAATGTTCATCTACTTACGCTGATTTTGCACTGATATCTGCTGCTGCTCCAAGCTTCTCTTAAAAAATGCAAACTCACTTGAATCTCTTTTTAATGATGTACCTGGTCTGAGTTGCATTGTTTAATATATAATTTACTGATATGGTGTTCATTTGGCAGACTGATCTGGAGAGCTACAAGGAACATTATTTATGGTGCAGGCTTATTATTGTTAATTTTCTTGGTAAATTTCTTCATTTCAGAATACCTTCTATTTTGCACATGAAATATATAAGAAGTGAAGATTTCTTTTTCCAAAACAGAAAAGCCCTTTTGGTATTTCCCAATAAGGGATGCTGTGAATGCTGCATGCACCGCAAGGTACCTCTGTGGCTCATAAAAAAACACAATGACAGCCGGTAGCTACACTAGCAGGGTCACTCGTGTACATATTTACATAAGAGAAGTGCCCCAGAAAGTCATTATCACCCTCCATCATCCCCTGAGTGGACACTGCAGTGCCTGGACATGGTCTTCACAGACACTATTTGCTTAGTGAAAAACCCTTTCTTCTTTATTTGCTTTTCATTTTGTCGCAGTCTAAATTTAGCGCGATGAGTATGTCTGGGTAGGCAATGTTGTGCTGACCGGGGCAAATCAATGTTTCTTTATCTGCAGCTCATGAGGAAGTTTTTCTGCCTCCAACAACAGCCCCCTCAACTTGATTGATCAATAGTCATGTTCCTACTGATGTCGTCTGGACCTTTTTGGCAACAAGTGGATGTGTGTGTGTTGCTGCTGTGTTTTTCTGTTTCGTGGTGCATGTAGTATCAGAATGTCACTTTATCAGTAGTTGCATCTACCTAACTGACATAGAATCAGAAAGATGTGATCCTCTATTATTTCACCAATAGAATGAAAACTTTTTGTAAAGGTAATGTAATGATAAATATTGACACTACTGGAAATTTTACAACATTAATTGCTTTTGGGTGCCTTTCTTTAAGAAATTAATTGAAATATTGCACAGATATTGAATTGAATTGTTAAACATTTTGCAGAGAGAGCAGATGGTTAGCTTATTCGCACTGATGCTGGAAACACAGGACATTGCAGTCAACCATGAGTTGCTTTTTGTATCCACAGACAGTATAATAGAGAGGTATAAACGAATCCTTGGAAGCTTCACTCTGCTGATGGTAAACAGGGAAGGATAGCAGTGGAAGCTAAATGTTTCACTGCTTCAGGAGGCAGGTTCTTTCCCTCTCCTTTATCAGCAAGTGTCCTCATTAGTACTTACTGATGAGCTTGGCAAGGTCAAGTCCAAAAAGTTTCATAAACAGATGTCTAATTAGACTTACAGCCAGCCAGCTTGTTTGTCCTCAGTATTTCATTTCACTGGTTATACATATTTAAGAAATAAAGGAGATCTGGTTAGAACCTATGTCATTTTGGTACGTCATTCTTGGAGGATTCTATTCAGATTTCTCATATGGCATGTTATACAAGACTTCAGGACGTAAAAGTTGAAATTGAAATAAAACCATCTATGCAAATAATCTCATCTTGGGCTGACTGTGTTTTATGCTTTTATTCATCCAAGTGAAGATTGAACTGATGTACGAGTTTTCTTCATCAAGTTCTCAAAAGAGAAAGAAAGGAATCCATGTTTTTTTCCATTCCTGGCATAATGATATATATGTTTATATCTTATATCCATCTATATATATGGTATATGGCAACTACTGGTACAAGAGCAACTTGTCAAAAAAAGACTGCAACATTTAATGACCTAGAAAAGAAGAAATCTAAACATTGCTATAAAGAATAAACTGTTGTTAAACTGATCAAATCTGTTCTTATGTAATTCTAATATCAGAAAAGCCTTTCAACAGCTTACATACATTTTATAATCCAATCCATACTGACAATCTACAGACTAAAGGGAGAGTAAGTGATTCTGTAGAAGGATTCAAGTGCCAAACCAATACACCCCTCCCTTCAGTGCTCCCCTCAGAAGCTCTGCCCCCCAAATTTCAAAACTCTTAGGTTGCTATATTTAGCGAGTTTGCAGACCCCTCTAGACCCCTTAAATCTTTTTCAAAAAAACATCATATAAAAACATCAGTCAAAAATTCTGAAGAAGGCAGATAATATTGTAAGGAGGAGGTGTATAAGTTTTTGTTTTTCTAGTGAAGAGCTCCCGACTGACAGAGTGAGCCATGTCAGCTGATGTTATTCTGTGTTTGACACTCACAGGTTAATGGATTTCCTGTACACTTGTGAGCAAGAGTGGTGACATGGGGTCACTTTTCTTATATGAAACTGTAACACAACAGAAATAGATTCATACAATTAGGGAAGGAAAATCTGAGTATCAAATGAGTATTCACCTTACCCATTATTTTTTGTGCATCTGTTCTTCTCTCAAGCTTTCTTTGTTATTTACTCACTAATTTGCTTATGTACTCATTCTGACTGAGCTACTGCTGTTGAAGCAGTTTGGCTCGTTTCCACTAAGTTCACCAATCAGCTTCAACTGTACCCACTTAAGCTTTCTAAATTTATTAGCAGATGGTATTTATGGTGCATTATACTATTTCTGCCTACATAACAGCTAAATAGTAAATCCAATATGTAAATAACGTAATAGGTTTGTTCATCCATAATGGTATTGAGCCATGAAGATAGTTTTGCTTTTCTTTTAGATTTTTGTTTTACTACAACTACTTTTTTTAAACCAAAGAAGTAGTCCCAGCGATAAATGGAAGAAATTATGCTGTCAAGTTGTTCACATGTCACTTATTAGTGCTAGTAATAAACAACAAATGTCCATTCATCTGTCATTGTATTTGGGTAATATTGGTGTTCAGAGCCACACCACATACAACTATGCATGTCTAGACACCACTAGGTTATAATTATGTTTGTTTTTTGAGTGAAATTACCTTTTAAGATGTTTCTTATAGATATTACAGTATCAATCAATACATTTATGTTTTCAAATGTGTGTCTTGATGGTAATTTGTAAAGTAATCATTCGATCCATGGAATATTAAGGCCTAGGTGTGTCTTGGGTTGTGTTTCCTGGACAGACAAGTTTCTTGACCTGTAACACACATGGTGGTTGCCACCTGCTTGACACACCAAATTTGGATTTTGTGGTTTAACTGACAAAAGCATGGCAGAAACATTTCACACAATGCTATTTCCATATGTTTCTGCAGTCAGGAGTTATAAATGAACTGCTAACTGCTTCACAGAGTATAGTGAAATGCCTACATGTATCTCAAACAGCATTTAACTAATTTAACAACAGCATAGCTTAAAACTAAAAAGCAATAACATTTTTGTACTATTTCCTATGTCTTCCAGCTTCCTCTTGGTCTTCTCCTGTCTCATACTTTCAGTCTTTGCCACCATCAAAGAGTTCAAAAATAGCTCAGAGAGTGCCTTGTACATCCTGGTATGTATAATTTCATTTGATGTAAACCTATACTCCATATACATTCATACCACAGGGTTCCATAACTTTGGTTTGTTCCACAGGAAATTGTGACCATCGTGGTGTTTGGAGTGGAGTACATTGTAAGGATATGGGCTGCTGGCTGCTGCTGTCGATACAGAGGATGGAGAGGGAGGCTAAAATTTGCCAGAAAGCCTTTCTGTGTCATAGGTGAGAAAACAGGGTCAGAGTGTGCTTTGCTGGCTGTCATTTCTCTCACCTTGCTCTTTTAGAAGGACATCACTCCTTGATGTTTTGAGCAAGGATATGATAACCATTTTCCTCATGCCTCATCCTATTTCTGCTTTCACCTGCTTCCAATCTAGTTTAGAATACAATAATTGTGTTTTGTTCTCTCTCTCTCTCTTTCTCTCTCTCTCCAGACATGATGGTGCTGATTGCCTCAGTATCTGTACTGGCAGCTGGATCTCAGGGCAATGTTTTTGCCACTTCGGCCATCAGGAGTCTGAGATTCTTACAGATCCTGCGCATGCTGCGAATGGACCGCCGTGGAGGCACCTGGAAGTTGCTTGGATCTGTAGTTTATGCCCACAGCAAGGTGATCCTGACATCATTTTGTTATTTTTCTGTAGAGCTTCTCTAATAGTTGACCTGCTCCTATACTGAAGCACCTTTCCCAATTTTGTAATTAGAAGGTGGGTATTTTTAGTCAGCCATGTGTTGTGTTTAAAACCATAATGGATGTGCACTGCAGTCAGATTAACTACACAAAAATTTCCACAGACACTGAAGTCAGATGTTTTTCAACCAAATAATTGGTACTATAACAAAAAAAAACCAATAAATAGCAACCTGATAAAGGATGTTATCTTGATAATAATAATGTCTTTACTGAGTATTATTTTTTCTGCTTCATCTTTGAGGAGGATTGACTCCCAGCATCTTTTTAAGAGAAAGAAAGAAAAACAGATTTAATTATTGTTTTACAAGAAAACATGCAGAGGAGCCCTGTGAAATGTCTGTAGTCTTCCTCTCAGGCTGCATACAGCCTCAGCAGCCTCCACAAATAAGCTATGGCAGCCTGTATGTTGCCTGAAAATTTGGGGGACATTATTTTTGGGCAACTTTTCTGTATAGTACAGATAACCAAAAAAAGATTTTAATGGACAGCTGTCATTTTGCTTCTTCAAGACTTCTTTATCAAGGTTGCAATATATATGTCACCAACTTTAGCTGTTTATTTAGCAGTGCTCTTTTCACAGAAATCATACCATCACCTCTGTTACTACTTTGTTTTGGTCTCATAAAGAACTGAATTGTTTGCCAGGTACAAATATAGGGTAACAAGTTTTGGTCCTCTGCACAATGAATTCCACTCTATGATTCGAGTAGCTTAAATAAAACACTTTGAACCACCAGTTTTGAACCATGGGAGTTAGCTAAACGTGCTGCAGGCCTTTATTTTCACTATTTCCAGTTGCGTCTCTTCCAAGTAATTCATGGTGAGGAAACATATTCCTCTGTTTTACTTTAATGAGCTTTGAAATTGAATTATTTGCTTGCACTAACAAGCTGTGGAAACTGTGTGTGATGTGGTGAGAAGGAGATTAGGCGGACGTATATCATGTGTGAACTTTAGGGAAATAAAGACATTTATGAAATACTTTTGCCACAGAGGGCATGCACCTCACATAATCATGTCCAATTACAGAATGTCCGTTTTCATAAATTTAGAGGTTACATTACTTTTTTTGCAAGGCATCCTAGATGACACTTTATTACTTTAGATTCCCTGGTGCTTATTTTATTGTTTTCTTTCTGTAGGAGCTCATCACAGCTTGGTACATAGGCTTTCTGTGTCTCATCCTGGCTTCATTCCTGGTCTACTCAGTGGAAAAGGAGTCAAATGATGAGTTTGAGACCTATGCTGATGCTCTTTGGTGGGGACTGGTAAGACTTAGCTGAAAAACAAAATCAAGCGTCTACTGAATCCACTTTACAGTTTTGATAACCACTGTAAAAAATAGCATTAGCTGATGTTATGATACTGATTTTAGTCCCCCCCTTCTATTACAAAATATCTATCTTTTCACCAGATCACCCTCACCACCATTGGTTATGGTGATAAGGTTCCCAAGACCTGGAACGGACGCTTGCTGGCAGCCACCTTCAGCATGATAGGGGTGGCCTTCTTTGCACTTCCTGCTGTAAGTATGGGGGCTTGTCAGGAGTACTTTGAACCTGTTTTTCTGCAAAAGCTTAAATTGCTGATTTTCAGGAGCCTCATTTGGGTTAATTTAGTCTCTGTCCGTTATGATGTTCAGGGCTCATCGATGTGGTGTTACTACTCTGTACCTCCCTATGGCCCTGTTCACACCTGGCATTAAAATGCGTCTCCACATGCATTTCAAGTGACCACTTATGATCAAGTCTCACTTCCCTTCTGAATTTGTTGTTTATCAGACCACAAAGGCAATATTTTATGGTAAAAATAGTTTCTGGTTTCTGATGTCCTCCTGCTGCTCTGCATCAACTCTCAATTATTTATGGAGTTTCCAATGGACAGATAGCTGTACTTGTTGCTAAAGCAAACACTAGCTGCCGTTAGCGACTTCTGGCAACTGCCAGAGGGGCTGGACCATTTGTTTTGGCATGGGCTGGTCAGAATTTTTTTATATATATCTAAATAGATTGTTTTTACAGGCCGATGGTGCATAGGACCGGTTGTTATTGCTTGCGCAATTTCACTACTGTTATAATAATAATAATAATAATAATAGTAAATATTAGGCATTTTTCCCTGTCTGCAACGTCCTGCCTGGTCCCGAGATGGTCCGGACCCAATCCGGGGTTACTCAAATTCAATCAAAAATAGTTAAAGCTAGGTTACTGCTGACTTGAAACTAGCAACTGAGACCAGAAAGTTTTTACTGAAGTAATAAATCAGGTGAGAAGTAGGCTAATTTTACCATTATTTCTAATTCAACTGGAATTCTATTTGCAACCACAGGCGTCTCCCCCTGCTGGCCATTAGACAGAAGGCAGGTTTAAGTTACTTCCGCATTGGCTTTACTTGTAAGAGCTGGAGGCTGCCGCTGGCCAGGACACATTCGCATACTGTTTAAAGAATGTGGCCATCTGCAGCCGAATGAGGTGGTCTGACACAGACACAGACCTGGACTTGAACGCTTACAGACAATGCAACAATTGTTTTATATATATATATATATATACATATATATATATATATATATATATATATATATATATATATATATATATATATATATATATATATATATATATATATATATATATATATATATATATATATATATATATATGTATATATATATATATATATATATATATATATATATATATATATGTATATATGTATATATGTATATATGTATATATATATATATATATATATATATATATATATATATATATATATATATGTGTATATATATATATGTATATATGTGTATATATATATGTATATATGTATGTGTATATATATATATGTGTGCAGTACTTTATATACTGTTGTGCACCTCAGCCACTTAATACGTTTCCAGTCTTTTATGATCCTACTTTAGTCACTTAGAAAAGCAAGTACTCTAAGTGAGCCAAGGCTGATTACATTTGTCATCTGTGGCACTTAGACTGCGGATGTAAACTAAAAGCTTCTTCTGAATCCACAAACACTCTGCTTTTTTCCCTTAACATTCTGAAGGCTCTCATCTAATGATGTTGTGATTCAAGTTACTCATGTATGTCATTTGCTGTTTTTTTTTTCAATAGAGGTTTGAAGATGTCAGACTCAGTAGTAAGCTTTGAGTAAGCAGTCTATCACACATAAAAAATGTGGATTGCTATATCAGCACTCAGTTAACAAGAAACTATTTTCACTATTTTTGCCACATTACCTTCTGATACATGTGGATTAAATCAGCATTTTCTCTCACATTTCTAGTATCTAGAAGTGCAGACACGTGGAAATCTTCTGTGTGTGTGTGTGTGTGTGTGTGTTGCATTTTCTTAATTGTGGAAGGGTTCTACAAGGTGTTGTAACAGGCATCTTGCTGTTGTTGCAATTCCTACTCCTGGCCAGTAGAAGTCAATAAATGTCACTGATCACTTTATGTTCTCTCTGTGTCACTATGAATCCCTATAGGGGATTCTGGGTTCTGGCTTTGCCCTCAAAGTACAAGAGCAACACAGACAGAAACATTTTGAGAAGAGACGTAACCCTGCAGCAGGCCTCATCCAGGTATGCATTTAAGAAAAACTGTGCTAAGAACAACATGTGCAGATTTATCAAACAGAGATAATCTCTGTTTTGTGCTCCTGACAATAAGGTAAAAATGTGTTTTTTATTTCTTAATTCAGGCTGCTTGGAGGTTTTATGCCACCAACCTTTCCCGTACAGATCTGCTGTGCACTTGGGATTTTTACGAGCAAACTGTAGCCATTCCTATGTACAGGTAAGTAATAAAAGGGTTGACTAATGCTGTACATTTTCAATAAATACAATTGTTTTCACACATCACATCATCTGTCTTAAAACTGGGAAGCTAAGTGGAAAACTGAACCTACAGAGTCTCCTCATTTGTATTGTATTCAAATCAGACACTTCTCTAGTGTAGGATCACACATTGGTGTGACTTTTCACTTTCTGTTTTAATAAGGGTCCTTTTACAGTGGGTGAGCCTAGTCTCTTGGCACTGAAACCAGAACCTCTTTGAAATGCTGTTTAAAAGGCAAACACTGCCAGTGGCTACTTTGTGAAATTAACCACCTATATTGCTGTCCAGCTGTATGAATCAGCAAATAAGCTGCAGTGCTCGACTTTCACTATGCAGATTTCTGCCTTTTATGCGTCTAGTAGAAGATCTCTTCTTGTCTGTTCTATTTGGAAATGGCTTCATGTTCGGTTTCATTCCAGTAGTAATTTGAGTTGAAAAGGTGATGACCAGCAGAATAGATAACTGCCAAACTAAATGGAATTGGCTTTAAAGTGCCCACCGGCGAGCTTTAACTTTTCAACACTGAGTTGGTGAAACTGTCTTGACAGAATGGTCTTTGTATTTTCCCAGACTTATTCCACCTCTGAACCAGTTGGACCTGCTGAGGAATCTGAAGGGCAAGTCATTCAGGTATAAACATGACAGTAGAGTCAGAGTGGCAAAGCTGATGATGATCTCACGATGACGAGGATACCAGGATGCTGATAAAGGGGATAATAGTGATGATAATGACGGTTTTTTGTGCTGAAGCAATAATGACATAGAAAAGAAAGATTTGAAAAATAGAATTTTACATCCATATTAAAGCTACACTAATCAACATTATTATAATAACAAGGCTCACATAACTATGTGTTATTCAAAAGGGCTCAGTTGTAGAAACAAACAGAAAATTATCACTCAGCAAGCAGCAGGGAGCTATTTTTAGTGAAAAAGCTCTGATACGACCACTGTCTGGTATGTAGCAGCAGGCAAACAAAGTTGAAAGGTCGGGTACTAGTATTGGTAAAATAATTTGTTGTTAGGTCAAAGGCATTTAATTATCACTAAGCTGTTAAGAAGCAATAACATAAACTGAATGTTTTTATCACCAACATCAAGAAAAAGATGCCCCCCTGAACCCTGGCCAGCTCGGGCCGCTTTCCATAGTCACGCCACTCTTCTCCAGCAGGCCTCTTGCTGTGTGGATGGGCCAGCTCTCTCCATCCCTCTTCTTGTGTTGACTGCACTGCTGTTAGCCTCAGTTTATTAAGAAAGAAACAAAGAAGGTGATGGGGGGAGTGGATGCAGTGGGAGAGAGAGTTCTAAACACCGGCATATTCAAATGCTGCAGGATTCCCGGCACCGTGAAGGAGGGATGACTGAGAAACAGCCAAAGAGGAAAAGATCCGAAGAGTATAAACAGAGAAGAAAGTTATATGACCAGGCATGGGCGAAGGCATTTAAACACTGGAGAAACCTCGGAGATTTGAAATGTGGGCAGCGGAGCTTCTGAGTGAGCGCTAAAGGGAGGGGTGCATTTGTTTGGCAATATAGTTCAAATATCAGTAATGCTTCTGCCGAATGACTTACTCTCCCTTTAAGAAATAGACAGAACAGAAACTAAACCAAGATACTTCAGGGATGAGGACATCATTAATGCATTGTCCATCACTGCCTAAACATGAGGCCTTTCTCATTTCTCAGTTTGTACCTCCTCGCATCGCGTCTTAGTTCCTCCCGTCCGAGATGCATGCAGAGGAGTTGGGGAAGAAACACAAGGAGCGAGGAGTCGAGAAAGCATAAAACAGAGAAATGAGCCTCTCCACTCGTTTTCTGCCCTCTCTCTGCTCTTCCCTCAGATTAGCTGATATTATGTAAGACCCACCTTCTTGAGATTAGCAACCAATCAAAATGCAAATGAGAAACTGTGACTATGACACTGGTGAATGGAGTGGAGTATTTCCCAAGCTGAAGACCAAAATAAATTTCTCAGGAGTTGGTGAAGACCAGACAGTTAAAAGATAATTAATTTTAGACATAATTTTAAAACTAGATGTCTGCTATACTAACTTTATAACATTTAATCTTGTGTGGAGTTCTTCCTTCAAGAGACCACAAAAAGTGATTAATGTAACTTTAAAGTGGCTTTAATAAAAAAATATTATAGGATCAACTTATCTACACTGAATAAAATTATAAACACAACATGTTTGTTTTTGCCCCCATTCATCATGAGCTGAACTCAAAGATCGAAGACTTTCTCTATGTACACAAAAGGCCTATTTCTAGGACTCTAATTCCTCTCGGCTCTACAGAATCCTATAGAGTCTTTTATGGTTTTGGTTCACTATCACACCACCGTTTTTGGATGCAGCAGGTAGTTGTTTTCAGCAAAAAAAAGTTCTGATACACTTGTACCCAACTAAGCTGACAAAGTTAGCGACTAGCTTTTGAACATAGTGTAGCATTAAGATGCGAAAGTGCCTGCTATTTCTCATAAGCTGTTTCAAACTACTACTGAAAAAATGAAATTACTGTACTATGTGTAATTCAAATACACTATAAAGTACAGAACTGTATATAAAATATAGCTTACTGTAGTTTAAAGTATAATTAGATTGTAGCCTAAAACAGAACTGGCGGGTTTACAAATAATAATAATAATTATAACAATAGCTTTATTTGTATAGCACTTTTCAATAAAGGTCACAAAATGCTTTACAATCAATGTGAAACATAAACAAGTTTCTCATAAAATAAGAGTTAAAAATAAGAATATACAGTTGTTTCCGCCCCCAAGTGGCCAAAAACTCAGTTATTGCAGGTAGAAACAGATTGCATTGGATTATATACATTTTTGTCACATCTTCTGTAGGATTTGGATATGCAGCAGCACAACTTTTACCATCCAGCAGCTATTTAATACTTATCGGGTCATGATCCCTGTTGCTTCACAAGTGATTCTTAGTGCCAATCCAATTCAACCTGAACTGTATTACACTGTATGTCTCATAACAACTTTGCTCCAGGTTGATTATGACGACAGTGTGATACATGACTGACTTGCACTGTGTAACAGTTGATGTCTCCTCTCCTCACAGGAAGGAATCTCAAACAGAAACTTCTCCCAGGTCTGTGATCTGAGCTTTTTATGAGTCTTCACCTCCCTTTGGCTTCTCTTCAATTCTGCTCTTAGCTGCTGCTGAGGCACTCTTCTTGGGGGAGTGTGTGTGCAGTATATCTGTGTGTGTGTGTGTGTGTGTGTGTGTATGTGTGTGTGTTTGTATGTTGAGGATTACTGTATAAATCCTGCGTGTCAGACATGGACATGGCTGTGTGTGTTAAGTGCCTCCTTCAAGAACAGTCATGCTGCATTTGCTCACATGGTGCTCAAAGATCAGCTCACTATGACCTCACTCCCAACTGGCAGCTTTATTAAACATTCACCAATAAGCTGTTCTTTGATACTCTAGCTTTCAGCGTCACCTCAGGAAAAAAGTGTATTTCAACACTTTAAGAGCTTGCTTGGGCCTTGACACTGTTTTTGACAAAAGAAACAAGTGTGATTATTGACAATAGTGTAACACTTTATCATGACATAGTCCTTTATAAGCCATTTGCACATTTTGTGTTGAACTATGATGTGAAAAATCTGCCCTAAAACGTCATTATAAAGATACTGGCAGGCATTAAAATTCATTCCACACAATGAAAAATAACAAAAGGCAGAGACATGCTACTATTTGTAAGTGTTCATTTATGATATGATGGACAAGCAGGTTGCAAATGAATTATGAATTATAGTTACAATAAAGTGTTACTGGCATCACAGTATGGCACACACTGCTGTTTGTGACTGTATCCACTGCTATTATCTTTTTGTGTCTCCTCTACGGCCCACCACTCCAGTAATGAAAATGCACACAAAGACAGACTTTGTGGCTGCTGTCCGAGAACTATTAGGTATAGTTGCTACTTAGATACTAACATCTGCACTGCAAGTCTGTGTGTTTCCTTCCATTGCGACCTCTGTTCCTCTTCCTATTTGAACACAAATAAATGTAGAGGAATCACAGAAAAAGGACTATCATTAGATATGTCACTTAGTGAACAATAAAATCTGACTAGTTTTACACTTTTAATTGTGTAGTGCAGATCTGTCAATGATGTCTAACCTGCTAACACCTTTTACCTTTTTCTCTGAAAACAAAATGCAGATATACACCCTTGTTTACTGCCTGCCACAGTTGATTTATGGTTTCTGTCTGTAATGTAATGTCTTCATGCAGTTGATTTGCTTGCCGCCTTTTTTTTGCCTAATCAGCACTTCTGTTCAGCAGACAAGGTGCATATTGCTGAGTACCTAACAATGCGTTTCCTTTCGACCGATTCCTGTGTATCAGAGAATACAGTATGATGGTGAATTATTTTGCATGATTTGTGTTCACTTTTTGAGACCACAGCTCTTCGTTTTGAGACGTGCAGTGTCACTTTGCTTCCCATGCATGCTTGCTTGTAGCTTCCTGCTGCTTGCCAGACCCACTGAATGCCCCACTATGTTCGTATTTGGACATGGCTCCTTCTGCTGTAGGACATTGCCCATTTTGCGTTTCTGCTGAGGTAAGATTTATTATCACATCAGTGCTGAATTCGACAAATTCCCAAGATTACACTTAAAACAACCAAGCTTTAGGATAAAGACATTTAGTTGCAGATAGTTATTTACTTTCATTTAATGATGCTAAAAAACAGTTAAATTAGTTACATTTCCGTTCTGATTACTTGATCTTTGCAGTCGAAAGGCAAGCCTGAAGGACAAAGTGTTTCCCAGTCCTTCCAAAGCTCCCGTGGCCAAGGGGAAGGCCCAGTCTCCAGGGGCAGAGGACGGGGCTGAGGCGAGTCCCAGCAAGGTCGCCAAGAGCTGGAACTACACTGAGAAGAACCGTGGGCCAAAGCACGCCTTCAGAGTCCGAGGCAGCAGCTCACGCCAAAACTCAGAGGGTGAGGGAACTCCTCCTTGTACAGAATAACATCTGACACAATTAATAATGAGGGTTAAAACATACCTTGAAGGACAGTGCCTCTATCACTACTTTTGTTTTAGGAATATCAAATAGCCAATTGTTCATAAGGATTTATATTATTCCTTTATAACTGTATTCATGTTATCATGGAAAGTCTCTGAAACAGTATTTAAACCAGCATGAAACACTAAACTCTGTCTAGAAACTATCTGCTATTTAAGGGAGGATTACAGCTATTTAAAGGAATAGCTCGACATTTTGGGAAATACGCTTATTAGCTTTCATGCAGAGAGGACAGATTAACTACAACTTAACTGTATGGACAAGGAAGGGATCCCCAATGTTATTGCAATTCATTCTAAGGGGGACATGCATATATGAACCAGATTTCATCACAATATATAATGATATGGAAAATAAATTCTTATTGATTTTACTCATTAAAAGAGCTACATTACAAATCTCTTACTAAAGTTACTGAAAATTACAGAGATACAGAGATCTACTCATTATTTTTTGATGACATACTTGATGACACTGCTTATTCAGCTTCCAAACATGTTCTCCTACTATTCTCTGCTCTGCTGCTCTTATGGTGTCTCTTCTCCTTTCCAACAACAATAAACACATGAATTGAAATGTGTTTTTTGACAAATTGTAGTGATGTTTAGGGATCAGTATGGATTTTATCAGATCTTCTACTCTTACTAAAAGTGATGGTTCAAAAAGAAGATTTAAAAAAAAATTCACAACAGGTTTCGAATTAAATATATTGAAATATAATTAATTGTTGTTTCTAGAACAGCAAGAGTAATGTTTACAACAGCAAAGTCACACTTTCTACATGTTTAATGTTTATGCTTGTTGAACAGGTGTATTAACTAAGTACTGGCTTTTTTACTTTCAAAGAAATGTACAGTAATGAGGGTAGTTCAACTTGAGTAATTTTGGAGTTATTTTCACCATGTTCACTTCTCCACTGCCACCTCTCTGACCACTTGGCTTTATGTGTGTATGTGTGTGCTTGTGTGTGTGCGTGTGTGTGTGTATGTGAATGTGTTTGTGTAAGAGCTCACAGAGAGCAGGATTTCTATGATTTCAACACAGATTTGTTGTTCACAATGAAATGTTAGCATAATCACAAAAAAATAGGGTGTGTAGATTCAGTTTACTACGTCCTTTAGGATTTGAACGCGTCAGAGACGCAGGGCGTGTTTTTTCATGAACACGCTTTAGAAACAGTGTAAAACAGCTTTAAGCGATTTTCCCCTGTAAAAAACATTGAATAGATTTTTATTGATTAGATTTTCTAAATCTGGGCAGGATCGCCGTTCCCTCCCGACTTTTACTCCTGGAACGGTGTTCCCGTGTGTTCCCCACCATGGTTCCCCATCTTTTCCACCAATCATGCTAAGCTAAGATAATTGCCTGCTTGCTACAACTTTATTTGAAAGGCATGACAGTGGTATCGAGGATCTAAGGATGGAGGATGTTGCATGTTGCAAACTTGTTATTTGTGGTTTTGGGCCATAGAAATAAAACTGACTTGACTTGACTGTCAGTCTTCTCATCTTATATCCCAGCAAGATAGCGAGTAAGCTTAATACCCAAAATGTCAAACTATTCCTTTAAGCAACTATGACCCACTCCATGTTATTTTTAATTAATTGTTGAGAAACTGGGCTCCTTTACAGTGTTGAAAATAATTAAATCATATCTCATTATAAACATTTTCCTTCATTAATGCTTTTTTCAAAATAGAATATGTTTGGCGGCTTGTCCAGTAGCTTACTTAAGTGTTGTTCACATTGTTGACACTGGATCTTTCTACAGTTATGAATTCAGTTGATGTGGAAGGACATAGCTCAATGCCAGCTCAAGGCCAAAACCCAGGCCTGCTTTGTGTTCTTAAAAGGAGGGTGTTGATGGTACTTGATAAATTGCAACGCCTCTTAGATGCAGTTATTGTGCAGACTGTGCAGTAATTGTCATGCAGTTAATGTTGCTATACTGTTTTTCCTGCATGTATTCATACATATGATGAGGACAGGGAGATTTTCTTGACACACCAAACATTTCAACATTGTGCTGGGGAGACAGAGGTCTGCTGGCTCGGATGTTTGTATCTAGCCACCGTTTATTGCTAGACAGCCCAAATGCATCCATACATCATTCAGGCCACTGTATCACTATCAACAAATATACTTCTCTTCTTCACCATTTCTTTGCCTTTTTGTTAAACAATTTGAATCAATTCTCATTAGTTGTTTTTCTTCTTCTGCTTCATGGCATGTTAAAGTGCTGATTGAAATGCAGGACGAAGACTTTGGACTGAAGAGTTCTCCAGGTTAGACAAGTCATCATGACATGTCTTCAATTTAGACTGTACTATTCTTTGTAATGTGTAGATGTATATTTTACCATATGTTATATTAAGCTTTATAATATATGCAGTGTGTTAAAGGTAGTTATAAGAGAAGAGAAAGCAGCCCTTTCAAACATGAACCAGAAACCATTCAGTGGACAAGTTCCCATGTTTGGAATTGATTTGTCTGCCATAATCATCCTGCTAGAATCCATAACAGATCTTTTTCCATGTCTCTCCTCTCTCTCTTTTTGCAGCAATTGAAGGTTTAATAAGTAAGACATCGGTATATTTTGTGGTTCGGCTTCTTTGGGGGAAATAATCAAAAGAAAAGTCAGCTTCACTGGTCTGAGAAACAATGCATGCTGAAATCTGCTGAGATTTGTTCACTTGACTTTTATTTTCTTTCTGAGCCCCCCATTCCCCCACCCCCACCCACCCACACCACCCCAATGATAACTAAAGACTGAAGCATGATACAAGCAGAGAATAAGCATGCAATAATTTCAGTATTTATTACAAATGATTATAGCATCTATTTACAGCAGTGGTAGGCTAAGTTAATAGTGGGTTCAAGTCAAGTGGTGCCAAGATAATCGAAAACTGATTCAGAGACAAAATGCCCAAAAGACCCGCTTTACGTGCATGAAGAGACCTCACTTTCCCTACCAGATTCTCATATAATTTCTAATAAGCAGTAATTGGGCCTTGACACCTTTGCCTTTATGCAATATGCTTCAAAATCCATAGAACTAAACATGCTAGTTACAATGCTAATCTAGACTTTAATCGGTGGTGGGAAGAGAGTCATTGTTGTTAAAGGTTTATCCCATCAGCACTATCCTTCAATTCTGTCATTCATGTCTTTTTTCTGTTGTTCCACAAAGCTCGCTCACTACTCTCACAAACTAGCTAACTGGCTTGAAACCAACTACGTTACTGTATTTTGCACCTTCAAAGCTAAAAGCAACAGCTCTGCCTTGCTTCTGCTGTGGACAGTGGTCATGTGGAAGCAGATTAAATATTCTTTAAGAGTGTCCTTGTCTTCGGTCTGTAGAGGCGAGCCTCCCAGGAGAGGAAATTGGTGATGATAAGAGCTGCCATTGTGAGTTTCTCACTCAAGAATTACCACCAGGCTTGAGGGTTACAATTAGAGCAATCTGGTAAGTATTCACTTTAATACCAAATAATGGTTCTGCAATGTTTCATTAACACATGGAGACAAAATAGGCAATCATGGTTTGTGTTTATGTCTTTTCCTTTACTTTGTGGTAATTTATGGTGCAGGCTGAATATAACGGAGCCACCACTAATGTTATGTATCTGAATATGTAATCTGTGCTTTTCCAACAACTCAAAATGTCTGTTGTGTGTGTGTGACTTGAAAATGTGTCCTGCCTCAGCATCATGAAGTTTCTGGTGTCAAAGAGGCGGTTCAAAGAGAGCTTGCGGCCTTATGATGTGATGGATGTGATCGAGCAGTACTCTGCAGGTCACTTGGACATGCTGTCTCGCATTAAGAACCTGCAGTCCAGGCAAGTGCACGGTCATTATACAGTATATTTGCACCAGTTGAAATCTGACCCACACTCACTTTCAAGTTGTCTCAGTCTAAATGTCAGGTTGGATTTGGAGGATACATGGAGCATTTTCAGAGCCAATGATAAAAGTTTTAACTCAGTATAATAGTAGAGATGTAATTCAGTGTGGAGGACACACATGTTGTGACATGTGAGTCATTGATTTGCCTGTTTCATTTTTTCAGCAACATGTGTTGTACTCAGATCTCAGTTTTATATATGTATCATTTTATCAAAATATGATTCACTCCTCCAGCTTTAAATGCATCACCAATACCTTTCAGATATAAAATTGATGTATAACTCACATTGTTTTCTATATTAGTTTTCCTTTCCTCAAATTATCCCCTCAAGGTCTAACATGTAGAATGAATATATTCCAACGGTGAAATACATGCACTTTTCATCCACGAAGCAAGCCAGACTCACCGTATGTCTTGTGTGTGTGGAATATATTGAAACTTGTTCTCCATAACTGATGTGATTCCCATGAGGCTTCATTTTGCATTGCCCTCATATCGTCTCTGTGTGCCTTGCCAGGATAGATATGATTGTGGGGCCCCCTCCCCCATCAACACCTCGACATAAGAAGTCCACTGAAGGTCCTAGGTTAGGTTAATAGACTGCACCTCTAGAATGACCATTTTACCAGCATTATGCTCCTTATACCATAGTCCAAATCTTGAAGCAGTTACATGCTACCTTATTATTTTGATTGATAGAACCCCTTTTGAGTTCAGGCCACTTGACTTGTCTCATTTAGCTAGATAATACATGCTAGAATGAAGCAATGTTAAATATTTTATATTAAATAGAATCAAGAAACATGTTTGATAAACAGTTTTATGTGCAACATTTTGAGGATGCTGTGCAGTTACTTTAGCTCTTATGTCACATTAGCTGCTGTCAAGAAAAGGCCTTACTCAACAGGGGTTTGACAGTGCTAGATGCTTTCTCTCATACTGGAGAGACAGAAGGAGAGCTCCCCCAGTAGGATGCAATGGAAATGAAGCATGAAGCACAACAAAAGCATGCCAATTGATGCATTTTGGCCCTACACAAAATGTCCCCTCTATTCACACTTTGTTTCATTAAAGACCTAATCTAATAATGCATGCATCCACATCGTCCACCTGAAATCAATAGTTTCTCAGGAAATGCATTTAGGCCATCATTCATTCATTCCACATATTTAGTTTGACAGGTATCATGAACATAAATCCTTTCTTTACTTGAATTCCATGCGACAATAATTCACATTATGGCATCATGAACTTCAAGTTTAAATGGGTTAAAACCATCCAGCAGAACATAGAACAGATTGTATTTTTAATCTTGGATATTACTTTTCTCAAATGCTAGAGTTGACCAGATAGTTGGTAAAGGTCCTAAAGCGGAAGGAGAGGCTGCAGAGGATCAGAGCATGATGGGACGTCTGGTCAAAGTGGAAAAGCAGGTAAGAATGTTTCATACACTGAGGTCGATCAACATTCATCATCATTATTTGTAATTTTGGTGAGGGGACACAATTTCTTCATTACATGTTTTTCTCTCTCCCTGAAGGTGGTCTGTATGGACAGGAAACTTGATTTCCTGGTCAATGTGTATGTGCAGCGTATGGGCATTCCTCGTTCGGAAACAGAGGCCTTTTTCAACTCCAAAGAGCCGTATCCAGCCCCGCCTTACCACAGCCCGGAGGAAAGCAAGGAGGAGAAGGAGGATAAAGAGGAGGTGAAGGTGGAAAAGGAGGTGAAGACATGCTCAGCTGCAGATGTCGCGTGCTCTGATGGGTCTTTAGAAAAGAAAGATCCTTTACTGGGTTGGTCTGTGGCGAGATCGGTGGGTACTCCCTCTGGCAGCCACAGCCGCCCCTCTACATCATGGCAGCACCAGCTGCAGCACCCTCTCCGCCAGCCTGCATGGAATAGCAGTGTGGCCAACACCCCTTCACCAGTCGGTGGCAGCGGTGATCATTCGCCCACCCTGTTCCGCCTTCCGCCTCCACCTGCTCCAGTTCACGACCGATCCTCTTCTGGTCTGGGTGGCAGCAGCAGAGAGAGTGGCTCCCAGAGCAGGAGGCGCCACAGGAGGCAGAGGTGTCAGCAAGATGCCACCGCCGTGGACAGCGACACATCTCTATCCATCCCGTCTGTTGATCACGAGGAGTTGGAGCGCTCTTTCAGTGGCTTCAGCATCTCCCAGGCAAAGGAGGACTTCTTTGGGCCTTCTTTCTTTACAGGCTCAGGAGGGGGAGCTGGAGCAGGGACTGATGCCGCAGCTGGACCTTCACTCTGTGCCAGGGTCATACCCTTCATAGCAGAGGGAGAATCAGACACAGACTCTGACCTCTATGCTCCCTCACCTCTGTCCTTCACCGGAGAAGTCTCATGTGGAGAAAGGGCATGGTCAGGGCTTAAGTAGGTCACAAAGGACTGCTCTTCCTGGCACACTGGTACAAGAGATTGGTGCTTCAATTGCCAACAGGAGACCTATTATGAGACCTTGTAGCCAACTGACTGTTGTTGCTGACGATGCTATTACAGACTATTTTAGGTTAAGTGAATGGTTACTATTAGCTGCTTATTAGTGAAGATGGTAAAAATATGTCCATATAAAAATTTATCACCATTTTTCTTTGTGATGTAACACCCGCTGCGTTGTATCCATCAAATAGTTGTTTAGGGACATTTCTTTAACTTACTTGGGAAGATTTTGTTGTATTTATTAGTGATGAAAGGTACATGAGATTATAGATGTGTGAGAGTATGATTTATGACACTTAATTTTGCACCATTTTTAATCTGACCTTAAAATTGACCTTGATTTGTATGAAACATGTAAAAGAAAATCACCTTGATTTCTTTTATGAACAGTGAGTGCATTTCAGCTCTTTTCTGTTACACTGACCACTTTAACTTTGAAATCATAGCGGTTAGTTAGTAATGCAAGATTGTTAAAGTCTTATCACATGGTTAGCATAGTGTCTTGATAACTTCTATACCTTTGAATGACTTGAGGTGTTATGATGCCAAAACCTTCGCTATGATAATCAATTAGATTCTTGCAGAGTAAAACTTGTGCTTGCTTTTCAGCATCATACAGAATAACTTCCCTCAAAATAGTGCAGATAATTCCCCATTATTAAACCAGTGAATTTGCTGCATGGCATGGTAAATGGTTGATTTAAGGACTGTGATAAACAGGCTTCAACAGCAGTCAACAGGGGCAAAAAATGCCATGAATGTTTTTCTTCTATACAGACAAACAGAGCGGTGAATAAAACATGAAAATGTTTGCATGGATGGTTTCAAGCTACTATGTCTATTTTTTTATGGGACTGCTTGAATTCCAATCATGTAAATGCAGCACAAACTTTCAATGGATCTTCTTTTCTGGGCAAATATGTTCATAAATTATGTACAAACTCTTTAAATACAGAGGCAGAGGTTTAATGCCACATATGTAAACAATATGGGCTCAAATGGACATTAGCTCATACATTTTGTATTGTTATCACACAACATGCAGTGTTGAAGTAAATCATATGGGACACTTAGACATGGCGGTATTCAGCCTGCAATACATAGGTCTGTCATTTAGATTCTCTACTGCTGTTCAGTTGTGTACTGAATGAGGAAATGCAATAAAAAGCAAACAGGGCAATCAAGAACCATCCTTTACCAACATTAACATGGCCTTATTTTTCACACCAAAATCCATTGTTTTGTAAGTAAACAAATTAACAATTTAATTCTAAACATTTCATAAAAGTAGTGTAAGTACACTTTCAAGAGTTAAATAGAAGGTTCAATAGAACATTTGTCCTGGGTTACAAATTCTGCCATTGAAAATGCTAATAGCATGGCATTTATACGGGCGTCTGAAGCATGAACACTTGTTGTTATAACTAACCCAAGTCATAGCAAATAAAAGATTTTAACATTGACACTGAAACGTGGACATGATGACAGAGGAAATATAATCAGCAAAGACTGTTCTCACAAGATACAAGACACAATCCATATATTTCAGAAAAGAAGAAACAAAACTGCTGGCATGTTTTATACCAGTTGTTCTCAACCTGGAGGTCGTGATCCCCAAGGGGAATAATTTCTGGGTGTCACCAGATGGTTGTGGAGAAAGAAATCAATTAACACATTTTAAATAAAATAACATATTTGAGACTCTGGGATGGTTTTTACCATTAAGTTACCTGTACCAGTGATATAATTTGCCTTAGAATAGACTTTATTGTGTGTGTTTGAGAGAGTCAAAATATTTCTGACTGGACAGTCTGATTGGATCACAATCACCAACCTAACTATTCTTTTTTGTGACTCCAAAAGGTTGAGAACCACTGTTTTATACAACCCAAAGAAAGGACCTGTAGGGTTTTACATGATACAGTAGCTCTTAGTTCAACTCTTAGTTCATCATGTAACTGCACCTTCTCCTTCTTCAATAATAAAACTTTGTACATCACTGAAAATCATCTCCTGTTTTTAAAGCAATACTTTGATGTGTTCAGTGTTGAAGTGTATCAGCCATATGGTGTAATAGTGGCCATGTAACACCAGATGGCAGTCAAGAGCTTTAGTTGAGTGGGTCCTTGTTAGATAGATAGATAGATAGATAGATAGATAGATAGATATGGTTTGCAAGTTGGTTTGCAAGTTGTGTTAAAACAATAATAAATGATTTAGTAATTTAGCAGTACACTTGTCTTTTTAGCTCATTAAGAACACCTTCTAATGGATCACCAACCTTCTGGAAAACCTCCTGGAGTGAAATCCCTTTATTAACAACTTATTAACATGTTTAACCACAGACTTGATGGCTTATTAGAAAGTGTGAAACCCACATGTCTTAGTTAACGGATTATACAAACATTTATATTTTCACTATTACTAAATACAAAGGATAAGCTAGCCAGAGGAATTTGTCACAACCTGGCAGCCCAATATGGAGGATATTTTGGTCATAATTCAAATCAAGTCCAGATAGAAAATTAAACAAAATCAAATAACAACGATTATTATTTTACTACACTATTAGGAAAAAAGGAAAAAGGAAATTAAAAAAACGAATTAAAAATACAAAGGTTTAAATGTTGACAATGGAAATAAGAAAAGGCAAGCATATAAAAGTGAAATCATAATGGGAAATGGAAAACCTTTAATATAAATAAATCATGAAATGAATTAAGTTTTTCTGCATTTGGCATTTGACATTTTAAATGTAATAGTTTCCATTAGGTATTTGTCATTTCATATTTGCAATATTAAGGTGTATGTAAATGAGGAGGTGCGGCCCAAAGGCTGGAGGAAGGGTTTGAAACAGCTCAGGTCGCAGAGGCACCTTATGGGCATCAGGGGGAGCTCTGATTGCACACTGCCAAAATCAGAGCAAGCTATAGAGCACAGAGTACAGGAGCAAAGAGGCGAAACACTGATGCGTTTTTGATAAGCGCTGCTAGATGACGATGCAGTAGCGCTGCTGCCATTTTGGACTGGAAAATCCAATAAAAAGCCAGAACAGAACCGATAGACGATGCTTATCTTCTACTTTATTTTATGATTTGAATTAGAACAAGTTGAAAAACAGGTCTATGCTTCCCCAACTGCAGCATCTAATGACGGACAGCCTGGAGTAGAAAACAAACTTAAGTAAAAGTAATACAGTAATGTAATAATGTCACATATATACTGTATATGAAGGTGGATCTAACAGCTAATCTATATAATGGTAAATGAGGTACACAGAAGCTAGTATTTTTTTCATCCTTTTAAATCAGTCAATTCAAAATCCATAAAAAAAATTTATTACAAGGCGCAGAAGATATGAAGGCAGTTCTAAAAAACGCTGTAGTTATATGGTAATATTAGAGGTGTGGGCTGTATTATAAAGCCATACCTGATATTTACACAGTAAGAACGAGATATGTGCTGTTCTCCCATTCTTACTCTGTATTTACACATAAACAACAAGGCATGTAGGGTTGAATACCTTACCTGAAGCAGTGCAATGTATGAGGTTAACAGAAGTCCACTGTTTTTCTGTTGCACTGACTTCTTCTCCTCCCTGCAGACATGTTTCACCTCAACATCAGAGTGAAGGATAACTTAATGTCACACCACAAGATTTTTTTTCTTACTCAGACACAATGACACTTTGAATTTTAACAAAGTAAGATTCAAACAACAGGCAACTGTACATGATTGTACAGTAACATTACATTTGCTGTACTTTACATTATTTGTTTCTACTTTGGTAAATCTGCTGCTGAAATTAAAAAGCTTTGACGGCTCATTTGGCTGCCAACTGAGTTTTCATATTGTGTATCATATTATTCATGACATGCAATTTTTTCCTTTATTTCTGGCTTAATCTTCTGCCACTAGTACAATAGTTACATACAATAGTTTTAAAGAGTGCTATAATATTAAATCATTCCTTGCAGTAGCCACATAATGCACTGATAATCAGGACTTTACATTAACCTATATATATATATATATATATATATATATATATATATATATATATATATATATATATATATATATATATATATCAATTCAATTCAATTCAACTTTATATATAGCGCCAAATTACAACAACAGTTATCTCACAGCGCTTTTCATAAAAGAGCAGGTCTAAACCGTACTCTGTGATGTTATTTACAGAAGCCCAACAATTCCCACCAAGAGCAAGCACTAGGCAACAGAGGCAAGGAAAAGTTCCTTCCTTTTAAGAGGCAGAAACCTCGAGCAGAACCATGGCTCAGGGTGGGCTGCCTCGACCGGTTGGGGATGATGGAGAGAGAGAGAGAGAGAGGAACAGTTGGGAAAGAGCGAGAGGGATGGAAGGAGAGAGAGAGGGGATGGAGGCAGCCTACACAATATACACACAGAGGTACAGAAAGTAAAGGTGATGTTGCTATAGACTAAATGAAAAATGGTATAGATAAATACAGTAATGCCTGTGATAATAATCGTAATGTTAATGATTATAATAACAATAGGACTAGTAACAATAGTTATTGTAGCAGAGGGTGTCGAGCAGGAACACGGGGGCAGCAGGTAACTCGCCACCACAGATCCAGACCCCACAGCTCCAGAGCCTGAAACACCTGCAGGAAGTGATAGGAGGAGAGAGGAGAGGGACGAGAAAACACAAGACTACCGGAAGGGGGAGAAGTTGAGTTAGTAACATGCATTAATGGGATGAGGTTGCATACAGAGGGAGAGAAAGTAGAGGAGAGAGGAGCTCAGTGCATCATGGGAAATTCCCCGACAGTCTAGGCCTATAGCAGCATAACTATATGTATGTATATACAGTGGGTACGGAAAGTATTCAGACCCCTTTAAATTTTTCACTCTTTGTTTCATTGCAGCCATTTTCCAAGTTCATTTTATTTCTCAGTAATGTACACTCAGCACCCCATCTTGACAGAAAAAAACAGAAATGTAGAAATTTTTGCAAATTTATTAAAAAAGAAAAACTGAAATATCACATGGTCATAAGTATTCAGACCCTTTGCTCGGTATTTAGTAGAAGCACCCTTTTGATCTAATACAGCCATGAGTCATTTTGGGAAAGATGCAACAAGTTTTTCACATCTGGATTTGGGTATCCTCTGCCATTCCTCCTTGCAGATCCTCTCCAGTTCTGTCAGGTTGGATGGTAAACGTTGGTGGACAGCCATTTTCAGGTCTCTCCAGAGATACTCAATTGGGTTTAAGTCAGGGCTCTGGCTGGGCCATTCAAGAACAGCCACGGAGTTGTTGTGAAGCCACTCCTTCGTTATTTTAGCGGTGTGCTTAGGGTCATTGTCTTGTTGGAAGGTAAACCTTCGGCCCAGTCTGAGGTCCAGAGCACTCTGGAAAAGGTTTTCATCCAGGATATCCCTGTACTTGGCCGCATTCATCTTTCCCTCGATTGCAACCAGTCATCCTGTCCATGCAGCTGAAAAACACCCCACAGCATGATGCTGCCACCACCATGCTTCACTGTTGAGACTGGTGATGAGCAGTGCCTGGTTTTCTCCACACATACCGCTTAGAATTAAGGCCAAAAAGTTCTATCTTGGTCTCATCAGACCAGAGGATCTTATTTATCACCATCTTGGAGTCCTTCAGGTGTTTTTTAGCAAACTCCATGCGGGCTTTCATGTGTCTTGCACTGAGGAGAGGCTTCCGTCGGGCCACTCTGCCATAAAGCCCCGACTGGTGGATTGCTGCAGTGATGGTTGACTTACTACAACTTTCTCCCATCTCCCGACTGCATCTCTGGAGCTCAGCCACAGTGACCTTTGGGTTCTTCTTTACCTCTCTCACCAAGGCTCTTCTCCCCCGATAGCTCAGTTTGGCCGGACGGCCAGCTCTAGGAAGGGTTCTGGTCGTCCCAAACGTCTTCCATTTGAGGATTACGGAGGCCACTGTGCTCTTAGGAACCTTAAGTGCAGCAGAAATTTTTTTGTAACCTTGGCCAGATCTGTGCCTTGCCACAATTCTGTCTCTGAGCTCTTCAGGCAGTTCCTTTGACCTCATGATTCTCATTTGCTCTGACATGCACTGTGAGCTGTAAGGTCTTATATAGACAGGTGTGTGGCTTTCCTAATCAAGTCCAATCAGTATAATCAAACACAGCTGGACTCAAATGAAGGTGTAGAACCATCTCAAGGATGATCAGAAGAAATAGACAGCACCTGAGTTAAATATGAGTGTCACGGCAAAGGGTCTGAATACTTATGACCATGTGATATTTCAGTTTTTCTTTTTTAATAAATTTGCAAAAATTTCTACATTTCTGTTTTTTTCTGTCAAGATGGGGTGCTGAGTGTACATTACTGAGAAATAAAATGAACTTTTTGGATTTTTGGAAAATGGCTGCAATGAAACAAAGAGTGAAAAATTTAAAGGGGTCTGAATACTTTCCGTACCCACTGTATATGTATAGTAAAAGTGTGCTCATAGTTATGTTATAAATCTCTGCCTATTGCTGCCCTCTGTTTCTCTCACCATTAACCACTTCCCTCACTGTTAGTTTGGTGATTTGTGGTAATTTTGAGACTCAACTCAGTTTGTAAGTTTACAGCATGCCATGATTTTGCTCATGCATTGCTCTGTGTGGAATGATAAAAAAGTGCATTTATTCGACTGACAAAATGCATTTCTGATCGTATTTGGCAGGTGGACAGGTGCTAATGTCAAGCTCAACTAGTAAGGCAAATTAGCCCAATCAGCTGGTCTTCCCTGGTATCAACATAATGTTGGTCAGGCATGCTGGCAAATAACAGCTAATATAGCTAGGTGCTAATGTTAGCCTCTTACCTGCTACACTTTCTTGCCATTAGACCATTAGAGAATTGTAGAATGGAAAACTGATTTAATTGAAATTGGGAAGAGATTTTTGTGCAAAATGTTTTTGAGAAATTCATGTCTGAATCTAGTATTAGGTCACGCTATCCATGTTACATACTTCTGTGAAGCTAGGATGCTCAGCTAGAATCTCATACTAACCATTTTATCCAAACCAAACGCACATCAAACACAGAGCATCTATATGAGCTTATATCACAACATACATCGCTCTGTGAACACTGTAAATGCCTGAAGTTATTGCCA